TCCCCCCTGACTAGTTTGTAACAGGCCACTAGATCCACCCTCAGCCTTCTCTTCTGGAGGCTGAACAGGTTCAGGTCCCATAGCCTCTCCTTGTAGGACCTGCCCTGCTGCCCCCTGATCATGTGAGTGGTCCCTCTCTGGACCCTCTCCACGTTGTCCACATCCCTCTCGAAGTGCGACGCCCAGAACTGAATGCAGTACTCCAGCTGCGGCCTGACCAGTGTTGCACGGGAGTGGGGTGGGGACGATCACCTCCTTGGAACTGCTCGAGATGCATCTGTGGATGCATGACAAGGTATGGTTGGCCTTTCTGACTGCATCCCCACACTGTTGGCACATGTTCATTTTGGCATGAACAAGATCCTTTTCTTCCTCTGCACTGACAAGAAGAGAGTTCCCCAGCCTGTAGGTATGTTGCTGGTTCTTCCTCCCCAGGTGCATCACCTTGCACTTGTCAGTGTTGAAACTCATCCTGTTCTCATCTGCCCACCCCTGTAACCTGTCTAGGTCTGATTGCAGCCTACTCCTTCCTTCTAGTGTACCCAAATACCCCCACATCTTAGTGTCATCAGCAAATTTGAATAGGATGCTCATCCAAGTCACTGCACTGAAGTGGTTGAACAGTGCGGGCCCGAGGATTGAGACCTGGGGGACCCCACTGCTCACATCCCTCCAGGACAAAAATGACCCATCCACCACCACTGCCTGGGTGCAGCCCTCCAGCCAGTTAGTGACCCATTTGACTTTTTCAATGAGAACAGGGTGAGAGACAGCGTCGAAGGCCTTCCTGAAGTCCAGAAAGACTACATCCACTGCTACCCCTGATCTGGTCATAGGCCACCAAGTTGGTCTGACAGGACCTGCCTCTAATGAACCCGTGTTGGTTGCCCCTAAGCATAACCTCCCCTGCTGGACATATGCCAGAATAATTCTCTCAAAGAGCTTACTCAGGATCCCTTTTAGTTAGCATCCCTGATGCTTTTGGTGAGCTATGGGTTCTTTAGGACAGTCGCCCAGTGGTGGCTCAAGGAATATTTTGCTCTATAATCCCATCCTAATCCAGCCTTCCTTTAGGGCTCTGTACTTGATGCCAGATATTATTTTACATATTAGTAGATATGCATACCCAATGAGATTCTCTCTTTAGGATGTGCAATTCATTAATAACAAGCTTTTATTAGGTCTAGATTAGCTTTGAACCCAGCACTGGGCATCAGCTTCAGCCTCATGAAGTTAAATCAGTCAAGAGTATGTGACTACCCACCTCCATGAGCAGCTTTTTCAAGGGTCTGCAGATGGAAAAAAAAAAAAGGTTGAAAACTAAACAAGTGTTGAAGCCAATGGCTTACTAAAGTGAACTAGGTGCCTGATGAGTCATTTTTCCTCTGGACACGTTGTTGAAATGAAACCCCGGTAGCATTCAGAAAGATGTATACAAGTAATGCAAACATATGCTGTTAGAGATAGCAGGCCAAGAGAAGCCTGCTATCTAGTACCATGTAAACCAGCACAACCTGTTCCATGGTCAGGTTGTCAGGGACTAAACCAGTACTCCCCCCTCAGTGAAGAGTGTGTGTGGACACCCAGCAAGACTGCCAGGTCTTTTTTTTTTCCCCCAAAGGGCAGATAAGCTCCTTGCAAGCCAGTAGCCATGCATAGGTGGAAAGGAGATGGGTGGCACTAGGTCACTGCCTGAAGCCTCACCAATGATGCAAAGCAACTCAACTGAGTTATGTTATGGTGAACTTTGCATGCTAGTCATGGCAGCTTTGATACTGTTGCCAAATAGATCCCTGAAACATGGAAGATGCTGAATTTTAGCCAATTAGGGATTTAAACTTCACTGCTGAACAAGAAAGATTTCTACAGCTCCTGGCCCATTTGCCATCACCAAGGAAGGAATCCTGCCTTATCTGCCCACAAAGAGCAACTCAGAGATGCTTTCATGAACCCAGGGGGAACAGGCTTCCATCTTCAGCTTCCTCTAGGCAAAAAAATGGTTTCGTTCCTGGCATGGGTGACTGGAGCCTCCCAAGTTTGAGGGGGTAGCCACAGGCACCTGGAGGAGGTGGCAGCATATAGGCTTCCCCATACCACCCTCATGTGGCATATATGGAACAAGCTATGGGGTTTCTTACTATATTTAAAATTTTCCCTGACCAAAAGATTGTAGAAAAAAATTTTTTTGGTATGGTTTCTTAGTTGATCTAATAAAAAGGTATCATCTCTGAATCAAGACTTCTAGAGTGTTACATTTCTTTTGGTACTGAAATGACTGTTAGAGATGCAATGTGCAGATAGGTTACATGTGGCATAGTGACAGTCATACAGAATTTATACTTTGTATCCAAGATATTACAATGGCAATGCTGCTCTTTCTTGACTATCAGAAGCTGGATAATATCTTTGTGTTTGCCCTTTTACTGCCACAGCAACTCTGATGTTTGAATTTAGTTGTTGTGCTTCCCCTATGCAGTGGTACAGTTAAACCAGACCCACCAAGAGGTAAAACACACACACACACACACACACACACACACACACACAGTAAAAAAAAGAGAAAAAGGAGGTAAGAAGATGCTTTAATTTAAAAGTTTAAATTTAGAAATTTAAAATTAAAAAAAGTTATATACATAGCGGCACATTGTGTCAACATTTTCATTCTGCTGGAGTTACGCTTTTAACAGAGGCTTAGCCAAATCCTGTATGACTGCAGAGTTTAGCTGTGAAAGAGTGCTGATCTTCACATTCTTACTGCTGGCATATTTGTTCTTGACTGTCTGGAGACAGACCAGAAAATCAGGTTAGGGTCTGTGGTTGTGGTAGTGGTGAGTTACTAGAATTGGGACTCATGTCATTAGACTAAAATAGAAAGCCCTGGTTAGCTTGTACTATGCTAGATAGCATATGATCCAATAACCAAGGCATATTTAAGACTTAAAGCCTAAAAGTTTAGTATACGCAACTTGGTCAGTCCTCCCTAACCTCCATCTCGAGGAAGTAGCTTTATGTATATTGTCATTTACTGCAAAGCTAATCAACCTTAAAAGAAAAGAGTCCCTTGGTTCATTATACTTCACAATTAATTTGGTTCCCTCCCCTGCCACATCTTTCCTGTGGGGAACTAATGCTACTTACCATGCGCTTTGTAAGGCCCTGGTTCACTTGAATTACATTCTTTGCCATATGCTGCATGACAGGAAGGAGGTCACTCTCAGTGTAGGACATGTAGTGTTGTAAAGTTGGCGTCTGGAAAGGAGAGATAGGAGAATTACTTTTGGGTACTACTGGGGTGAAGTGCTGCAGATGGGATGTGCTCCTTACCTCAAAAAAAGGGAAGGGGGGGGCAGCAAGGAGAGAGGATCATTATTTTTCACTTTACATGAGGTGGGCCAGCATGCAGTAAGATTGCTTACTTGGGCAGGGGAAGGGAGAATAGGGAAAGGAAGGAGACAGGGAACCAGACGCACACCACACTTACCCACTCTCCACCATCAAGAATTTTTAGAGCAAGACAAAAAGCAGCAGCTGCAGTCTGGGATGGAGGGTAGTGTACCATTTCATAATCCACTATGCACAGTTCCATCAGATATTTGGCTAGGGTATGCTGTTCTAGATCCACCTGCAATTCATCAGCATCTGGTGTTAGTCATTTCCAGGTTTGCCAGAACCAAGAGGGCCAACCCCTGTTCTGCTTCTATGCATTTCAGGCCAGATGAGAAGAGGAGAAGTGTAGCAGTCATTCTACACTACATTTACCCCATGTGGGTCTTGTCTGTTTTCAGAAGTGTATTTTTGCATATTTACATGTTTTCCCTTAATCTCTATTAGAATTTCAGTGACATCTGCAAAGTGACTCTAGCACCTCCCACCCCCCCCAGATGCAAGAGTATTAGGCACAGCTCTAGAACCCTAGGCCAGCTGCCTGTTTTGAGAAGCCGAGTGATGTTTTCTCCATGTTAATGGAGTTACTGCTGTGCCCTACCTTCCCAAGAAGGCTGCCCCCAATTACTTCATGAGATACCAAAAGCATTACCTCACCAATCTTGGATGCCCTCCTTAGAAAGTGCAGTGGCAGAGGGCGACCCAGGCTGAAGTCTAGAGCTTTCAGAATCTTCATTTCCATTTGCCTGATCTGCAGCTTGGTGTAAGCATTGTCTGTTACAAAGGCAAAATCCCCAATTTCAGGGGGATACATTTCTTCGTATTTGCTGGCAACAAACATGGCTGTGACCCCAACCAGCTGCAGAGTCTTCTTGGACACGATGTTGTTCTGTCATGAGAGAATCCATTTTGTATGTTTGAGGTTAGCAATGACACAGTGATATAAAAAAAACAAAAACAAACAACAAACCCTATATACCCCCCCGCCAACAAGTTTGCCATGGTAGTCAGCTATGTCCTGACAAAACTTGCCTGCAACAGTCGTTGCCAGGAGCCCAACCTTTATTCAATTAACTTTCATGTGAACCAGGAATTCTACAAGAACTTTGCAGGGTGCCAATATTTCTATACCAGTGAAGTATTTATAGGAAAGCTATCAAACATTGGATTTGTGCACAAGATCTGGTCCTGTTGCTACACAAGGACAGTTCACTAGGCTTCCCTCCCAAGTGAAAGCTGGAAATGTAATGCTTAAGATTTGTTTACAGCAGCAAATCAGTGAAGACCATCTTTTGAGACAAGCTTTCCCCACAGCATTGATCAATTAGCAGTCAGGCTTACAATGAAACAAAGTGGCTGACAGATGAGCAGTTCTTTGGCATAGTTCCAAGACACCACTCATACCTGCAAAAAACGGTCTATGATAGCAACTGTCAAGTACATGGTCTCTTGCAGCAGTCTGAATTTCATTTGCACCTGCACAAGCCAGTCAATGAGTATAGCACGCATATTTCCAGTGACTTCCTTGCCCAACAGGAATTTTGGTCTAATAGCTTGTTGTTCCTGCATAGGAAAGAGTTAATATTACTATAAAATAGACCTTTTGCTTAGAGGGAGGCAATGGTATCTTAGTCTTGAAGCCTGGATGTTGCAGTTGTCATGCACAAGTAGTTCAAATTGTCCAGTACTTCATTTTAGTTAGTGAATACCAGTGTTTGAATCTTATTAGATTGAAAACCCTAGTTCTAGGTCTAGAGGCAGGCAGTTATTTTGGCCGGAGGGCCACTTAAGGAGTTTTGGATAGTTGAGGGCTGCAAAAGGTAGCCCCACCCCCTGGTTGCCATCTTGGGATGGGAAGCCCTGCCCCTAACAT